CGGGGTTGTTGGCACGCGTCCGCGCAAGAAGGTCTAGGTAGCGTCCAGCCGGCAGCAGGAGGAGGAGGAGGAGGAGGAGGCTGCATTTGGAGGCGTCTCCGCCCCTTGACGCGCTGCTGGCTGTCGGCTGTCGTGCGATTCACCGTCCTCATTTAAATCTGCCCGCCTCCAGCCGAGTGGCGCGGAGCGGAAATGCATCGTTCTGCCGGTCCTGCCGGCCGCTCGTCAGCCAATGACAGCGCTCCCGACCCCGCCCCCGCCGCCGGGGCCCCCGGCCAAAACACCGCAGCTCAGCGCAGCTCAGTGCAGCTCAGCGCGGCTCGGCGGCGATAGCACGCCGATAGGCCCCGGGCCCGGGTACACAGAGTGTGCCGGGAAGTGCAGTGGTGGCGCGCTGCGGGGGCGGCCGGGGCCGCGCGTATGCAGCCTGCTGCAGCCAGCGACCGCGCCGCCGCAACCCCCTCCAGGGGCCCGCGGCGAAGGGGACAGGGTGCTTGTCCTACTAAAAATGTCATGTGCAGCCCTGTAAAAGTCAAGGAAATGCCATGAACGGACAAGTAGAGCAAAACCAATGAGGACCCCTTCATAGAAACGGTGCGTGAAGCGGGAAGCATGGAATAAGTTGGCTTATTTCGAAATTGAGATTGGAATTTCAACTCCAGCACACCCGGCAAATTTCCAACAAAAAAAATGGTCCTTTGTGTCATATTTTCTGAGTTATGACCGATAGTTATGTCGACTTAACACTTACCCGCTTTTGCCTCTAAAATTTGATTAAAAAACAACTCGAACCCGAAAATTGTTTTTGTTTTGATCATGTTGGTGTTGCGCCCTGTGTTTTTCAACTTGAACGTGTACTTATATTCTGTTTCTCTTCTCGGTTCCAGGTGGGTTTGCGTCTGAAAACGACAACAGTACCATCGCACTGGACTTGTGAGTAAAATGTCACGCGGCATTCGGCGGACGCAAAGGGCGCGAGAAAGGATAAATAATACATCATTATTAAAGAATTGACCGAAAGTCATAGTTTGCCCCCCGTTGAATAGACTGTCCATCCGTGATAGCTGTCCTGCCACCCCCCCC